TCGATCATAATCAGCGGTAAGAAGCGCAGTGCAAAGACGGAACCGTCCGGCGCCGGCACAGTCTACCATTCAGGCGGCAACGGTCGACGCCGGCCGCCGCGCCGCTCCGGCAAGATGTTTGACTTTACACCGCTATTACTAGAAAAGTTGTGGACCGATTTACCTATTGCTTGCACAGGAGGATTTGCAATTCAATTCTGGACAGATGCTGAAAGTTTGACGTTAATATGATAGTTATGGCGTGAGTTATTGGCGAAAAACAGGTGGGGTTGGCGAAATCCGCCCCTTCCATCGCCCGTGCTACGTTGCACTACTTGTTGCTATATCATCCAAAGTTATCGTTGGCCCACTCTAAATTTCTCAGCACGTATGCCTTACGTGTGGTGGAAGATAATGTCCAAATTTGAGCAAAATCGAAGGGTACCCATTTTTTACAAATTAGATTTTAAGAAATTAATTCAAAATAAAATAAATTCAAAATCACCAAAAAATGTTAAAATTACCAAATTTAACTAGCATAACTCCTCGTGTTCACGTTTCCGTTTGTTTGAAATTAATAGCTTCAAAAATGTTGAAGCTATAGATCTTTCAAGATTGCAATACACGTCCAATTCTGCTAAAAAAGCAGAAGTTTAGCGGCTTGTATCTCTGTAGCCCGAGGGCATATGACAAAATCCTTTGACCCTCAGAGGTTTCACCCAATAGCCAACAAGTATACCAAGTTTGAACAAAATCGCAGAGGTGGCCGATTTTGGCTGTCCCGGTTGACATGGAATGCCCCCATATACCTACCGACGTGCGCCAGAATATTTCTCTCCGGAAGCTCATAGTCCCGCCGCGGCTCAGTTCCGCTCCAGGACTCAGCCATTGCAGCCCGTGCACAGCAGGGCGGCAGGCTTGAGCGGCTCATATTATCCAGCCTGACACGTCATATACGTACGAATTAATACGGCGCAGACTGGACGTATATCGATCGACCCGTGTCAGAGCCGACGCTCTGTGCTGGTTGCTGCGTGGAAATTTCCAATTACAGTGTAGACTGTCACGGTAAGGTGAGGAGCCGGGGCTGGAATTCTGACCGGTTACGGGGCTCGGACACATAGCCCTACGCACGATCTGCTATTTGACCCGCGCCCCACTGGGGGGGGGCTATTTATAGCCCCCCCTCCCGTTTTTCTGCAATAACTTCCAAACCGCTTGACGGATCGACGCCAAACTTTCAGTACCTTCGGCTGCATCAATTTGACACCTTGTGTCAAAATTTGAACTTCGTAGCTACCATAAGTCGGCCGGAAATGACGTCAGAGTGACGTCATGTTCGTCCGATTTCGACGCAAAACATTGAACCACGGCAATCGCTCCCAAGAGCTCAGTTTTTAAGCTAGATCCAATTTCTTTGCATGAAAGAACTCAGAATTGACAGCGCTATCAAACTGCTATCTCGGATTTTTAAAATTTTGAAAATTTCGAAAATTTTATATAATAATATTCAAAATTTATATTTTTATATTGTTTTCAAAAAGTTTTTGACTTTTCGAAAAAAACCGGAATATATTTGACAGAATGCATGATTATGACTAACTCTAGCAAGTTTTAGCTAAATATCTTCCAAAATGGCCAAGTTATACGCATTATTGCAAAAAATTCACAATTATTAATTTTTCAAATCAATTTTTCAGTACGTATTTGGCATCGTACACCAATATAAATGGTACCATCGTGTTCCTGAGCTCAAACTGCATCCAATAGACACCTTTTTTGTTGAAAAATTTCAACTTCAAAATTTGACCTTTTTTGACCTGAAAGTGACCTGACCTAAGCTAAATTCGACTCAAAATGACCTCGAATGACATAGACGACATCAAATTCGAAATCTATGGCCTAAATGGACCATAAAACATGTGTCACGTGACCGAAGCATGATATAATATTTTCGTGACCTGTGATGACCTGACCCTGACCTGAAAATCAAAGTACAAGTTTGGTACCCGCAAGGTATCTAGAGCATCTGTTCACGAGTGTGGAAACCAAAAATGAGCCTGATCTGAATTGTAAGACGGCGGCCAGAGCCCAAAATGTGAACAAGCCAAAGTGCTAATAATTTTTACTTTGACCTGACCTGTGACGTCATCGGTGACCTCGAGGTCAATGAAATTAGGTTTCGCTCGACAGTTTTTCCGGGGCTATCAGACGCCGTTTGAATTTTGACGATCGGCCCAGTAGTTTCGGAGTTAGGAGGGGGGCTATGAATAGCCCCCCCCAGTAGGGCGTGTTATACACAGACCCCAGTGGGGCGCGGGTTGACAAACATACTCGTATAATCGCGCAGGGCTGATCAAGTTAGATCCTAATGCTAGTTTTGCTTGTAATTTTTTTTATTACCCTAGGCGAAAAGTGTTGATTGTTTTGCCTCCTACTTATATAGGTTTATCTATTTACCTATCTTTCATAAATGAGTGCAACCACTCTGAAATATTTGGTCACCTTTATACCTACCTCATATTATCAAATTTTCGTAGGGCCAGCCATAGACCCCCTTGTTTAAAGGGGTCTATGGGCCAGCCAGTTGTCTTTATAAACGGCACTTTTTCATAACGTATATGCTATTCCGTTTGCTAAAACCATAAAGCTCTTAATTTTTCTTTCATCTCTATTCGTGTTAGTGTATAGCGTTGTATAATTCTCGTGTGAGTTAAAGAACTTGATTTGTAATAGAGCTTCATAGAAGTGTTTCAGTTTGTGTCGCACAATTGATCATTAGCGGGTGGAATAAACAAAATAAGTCATGAAAATGGCTCCCATCTGCCCACACACTGCCATCCACACTGTCATGTATGTACCTATGTGTACGTATCCTGTCATGCATGCTGGAACATAACGTTCCGTGAATACTTTCACGAAATTAATAGCATTTCCATCTCTTTTTATCACCAATACATAGCTGGTCATTCGGTCCAGTCGCTGCAGCCATAAATCGTCGTCAGTGATGCATTCATCGATGCGGGTTTTGTGTCCATCACGGCTGTGTTTTTATCGTGTTGCTAACTGGCTTGTCGCTGGGCGGGTCCGGTTCTTCATTGGAGCGCGCCGCGATAGGCGACTTTCTCGGGACAGTGAATGAGCGGCCCGCAAATGTGTGGATCGAGTCTGATGGCAAGTCGAATTGGGATGCGGGCTAGGATTTGGACCACATTGTGTGTCTAATTTAGCGAACTTTGGGCAGAGCTGAACTGAATGAAAAGACGTACGGGCTGAGTTTTTATTCGACGAGCAGAACGGCCTGGAATGCCAGCGATTTATGAACTCAATTTAATAGAGTGGATGATTGTAAATTTCCCTAAAAATGCTTTAGGCGATTCGTAATTTTATTTTCTGGCCTAAAGGCGAAAGAACCACAACATCTCTAAGTACTCAGTGCTCACAAAACATTTGAATTATTGATGGCAATTGTAGGTATTGCGAGTTTCTGTAGGCTAGCTTACTCGTATGCACATGATACTGTGTCAATCATCGCTTTAAAATTGTCCCTTTACATTTTATGCTCGTTCATATGCCAAGCAGCTCAATCTGAATCGTCTTCTCCATCGAAATTGAAAGCAGAAAGAAGACAAATCGAGAAATAGTGTATTGTAACCATGTTAAAATGTAGGTAACGAAGAAATGCTGAAATGCTGCGGCCGGGAGGATAAATTTATCAAATGTTCGGCTGTCGTTGACGAATGCCTGTCCGCTAAATTGACAAATGCCTGTCCGCTGAATTGACGAAGGCCCGTCCGCTGAATTGACGCCAGTGGTGGCACGTGCCGTCTGACCCTCCCTCATCATTGATCCCCGCCGGGCTTCTCTGCAGACGGGACGATGCGCCGCTGGTTGATGCACCGATCCCGCTCTCCAGAACTGATTTACCGACCGGAGATACTGATCAGCACGGGGTTCGATTCCGCCCCTGGTGAGGCCCCCGGCGGAGAAGAGAGTCACTGACGAGGGGTGGGACGGCAGGGGCCGGGGCCGCCCCAGCCCGCGGGCCAAGTGGGCAGTCGGCCGGCCCCATTGACGCCTCCTCAGAGATACAATCTGCTGAGTTTGGAGTGTCCGGGGCGGCCTGGAGGGCCGTGAGCCGCCGGCTGCGCCGTGACACAAATCGCAGCGACCACTGACGCCCGACTGTCACGCACGGGTTGCTCGAGAGAAGTCTGCCTGCCAAATTTGCTACATATTTTCGAACGTTTCGACACTTCCTCTTTATAACTGGCTCCTGGGCTACGTAGCGACAAGCAGCGAGCGACGTTGAAAAGGACGTAAAGTATATAGAAATAACGACGAAAGTACTGTGGTCAAGGCTTAGGTCAAACAGGTCAGGTCGGGTCAAGCCTCTGGTAACCAAGAGTAGGTAATTAAAGGTCAAATTTTCCCGATCTTTTCATTTTTGTACCTACTAATTGACTCACAACTCGAGATGTATTAGAATTGCAGCATCACGGGACGGATATTCTGTAGCTTTTCAAATCTCTTACGTCGGTGCAAACGGCTTTGATTAGGAAGCTATAAAACTAAAGCGGGTGTCGGTCATTCACACTTAAAAGTTAAATACAAACAAGCGGATTGAGGTATTTCCAGAGTACCTAAGTCCTAACTCAGCTTTAATATAACCGTTTTCAATAAAACCGCATCATCCACACAAGTTTTTTTCTGCAATGATGGCATTTCATCCATTTAAAATTTCCCTTCACAAAGCTATGACTCAGACAGGAAGTGCCGCCTTTCCAGCAGAAATAATTACCCAGTTCTCTGCCTTGCGTTACGTTGATTCCGGATGCAGAACAGTTGTTACGCAACACCCCTCTGTAGTGTCCAGTGGGAGCAAAACAATGTCGCAAACCACTTAGCAACGATAATCAGCAGCATACGCACCACAGCACCACGTCAGCTTCCTGCATGTAAAACTGTAAAGCCAGCAGATCTCCGAGCACGCCCGGCTAGCTCCCGGGGACAGCCAGTCCGTCCCGTCGTCCGGTCGACCAGCCCACAAGACGTCCGGCCCGAGTGGCCGGTCCCCACCGGCGACCTCGACCGCTCCGTCGCTCTCTCCTGCGCTCGGTGCTCTCTCCTCGGCCGGCTGCACCGACCAGGGTAGCGGCGACCGACCGCGCCGGCAGCGCCCGCTGGTGCTCGCAGCGCTCACAGCGGCGCACAGTCAGTAGGCCGAGTGAGCTGGCTGGGAGAGGGCGGTACTCGAGCTGCCTTGGTAAGAAAGAGGCCAGGGGTGAAGGTGCGTGCATTGTGGGCATCGTAGCCCACCAGCGATCGGTGTTGAAGTTGTGTGTTCATCGGACATGCGAGTGGTGTGTCGGTAGAGGATTTTCAGAGCTCGTGAGTGTGTGTATCTTGGTGTGCGCGGCGCGGCGTAGTGGTTCGTCGCCATGCCGTTCTTCGGCAAGAAGGAGAATCGCCAAGAGGGCAAGAAGATTCCGTACAAGAGCGGCGAGAAGCTGGCCAAGGAGGACCGCCGGCTGACGTCGAGTGCCTCCAATGTCGAGGAGATCTATGATATGAAGGAGGTGCTGGGCACGTGAGTAGCGCCGGGAGGGGAGGGGTGCCGGGAGGGGGAGGGAGGAGAAAGCTGCCACCGCGGCCGGCTGGGAGGAAACAGGCGCGGCTCGAAGCATGACCCATGGAATAGGGTGGGTCGCAACTGATGGGAACGGAAAGCGCGCCGTAGAAATCGTTAGTCACATTGATCTTGTACGTTATAGCTCTTATGAAAGCTGGCGCTTTTGTTTACAATGACATCCCACTTCTCTGATTCTCACTTTTTTCGACAATGTGTTTAACGCAGTGACATAAATGCCCTTCAGGGTGGCGCAATGTGTTTCTCTTGTTCAAGTTCATCGACCGTCTGGACGTGCTGACCTCTGTTTTGCGATCTCACCGTCGCTTCGGTTATTGAATTTGTGCACGCGATCGCCTTGAGCGAGCCGTTCACGATCGGAGCGGTGTTCCGCGTAAGCCTGCAACCAAGGCTATATAAACCAGGTAGAACGCTCCCGAAGAAAAAGTGGTGACAAGCAATATTTAGTTGCCGCGACCCTCACTTGTTCAAGACTATATCCGCAAGCAGCATTTACAAGCTAGCGGAAATCGACCAATCGGCGTTCGGCAATACTCAACGCTGATTGGCCCGATGCTCGTGACGAAATTGCGGGGGACTGCAGCTACTCCCCTATGGCGTTTCATTGACTTATGACTTTTGAAGGGGATTTGTATCAGTTTTTGTTGGGTTTGAGGCCATTTTTGAGCTTGGATATTCTTTCCGTGACCTTTGACTATATAATAACGACATTTAATTATGACATTTCTATATACTACCGGTGTCACATCGGCCAAAAAGACCGTAAGTACATGGGATAGACGGACCACTGCTGATGGGGCCACACATGTCGGCGTGTGGTCATCGGAGGCCCATGAGGGCTCGACATGGGCCCTTTATGGGTCGGTATAGGCCCAGTGGGTCCAGTGCAGGCCTACCAGGGGCCGGTGGCATATAATGTAAGGCTGTCTCGGGACGAATTGAGGGCTCATGGGGGCCATATAGGACCATTAGGGACAACATAAGCCAATCAGGGGTCCATTTAGGCCAATAAAGGCGCTTCAGGGACTTGAAGAGGCCATTCAAGAGCCGTGGTGGGCCCATGAGGGGACGGCATTGGTCCATCAGGTGCAGTCAGGGGATGTTGTACGGGTTTCTCAGTGACCCATTTGGGCATATCAGTGACCAATTTAGACCCAGCAGGGGGCTTTGTAGACCTATCAGGGGCTGGTGATGGTTTATCGGAGGCCAGCGTTAGTCCATCGGGGCACGGCATGCCCATTAGAGGTAATTGCGGGCCCACACTGAACAATGATGGCCCTTCAACGGCCCCTAATGGATCTAGATTGACCCATGTTCCATGATGTGTCATGTATGCCCCTATGGCAGGCCTACTCAGACCCCTGATGGACGTTCCCGGCCTCTGATGACCCTATACTGAATCCTGGTGGGGCTCTAAGAGTCTCCAATAACCCTTCTTCAGCCCATTATTACCATACGCTGGCACTAAAGGCCCCACATCAGCCGCAGGGCAGTCCGTGCCAAGACAGCATGTCTTTTCGGCCGATATTACATCGGTAATATTAATTAAAATCATGATTTTATGGTGCCATTATATAGCTAACAGTCATAAGAAATATATTTCAACTCGAAAACAGCTCGAAACAGCATATAATCTTAAAGAAACCCCTCTGAAATCCAAAAGCCTATTCGGGTCCATAGAGAATAACTGCGGTCCCCCGCAATTTCGTCACGAGCGTCGGGCCAATCAGCGTCGAGCACTGCCGAGCGCTGATTGGTGGATTTTCCGCTAGCGCGTGAGTGCTGCTCGCGGAACAAGAGTTCGTCGACAATCCTCCACAAACGTCTGTCACCACTTTTCGTAATGCTAAACAGCCGGAGCGTACCCCCCTGGCCTGCAACAGACGTCTTGCCACTGTCATTGCATACAATTTTAAGTGCATCGCCCACGCTGTTTCCACTGTAGGAATATCCTTTCGCTGGACTCCTGACCTTAAAACGCGCACATGTTGTTTATGGCATGTGTTGGGTGATTAATGTCGAGATGAATATAACCTGGGAGATCAATAATTTCTCCCCAAAGTTTATTTGATTTACGATGCACGGATCGCTGCTCCACTGCTTTTTTAGGTCTTGTTTCCGCGCCGTTACAACGCTGCTCCGGTCCACGTTTCTGCCTGTGTTTCAGTGCTGTTTCAGCCACCATTTCACCTCCCGAACTGTCATCTATTTGGCGCAGTCGCTCGTTTGGAGACGGCTCATCTGTCATCTCAGGCCTGTCACTGGACATAAAAGTCCAGGAACATCGGGCTGACACAGCGCTGACACGTTTGCGGTCGGCTGTAACTTGTGCAGATCAGCGGAGTAGCGCAAAGATCGCCGGCGAGTAGAGAAAAGATCGCCGGCGAGTAGAGCAAAGATCACCGAGGAGTAAAGATCGCTGGGCAGTAAAGGTAACCGAAATTGTAGTGACGTTAGTTCTATTTTTCATTCAGTATTGTCCGTATCAGTATGAAATAGGCTGTGTTACATTCACCAATGCTCTCTCCCGTGGGAGAGCACGTGCGACTAGGATGGATTTTTTTGTTTTTGTTTGTTTTGTTGGGTTAGGCCCTTTCGGTCGACAAGACCATTGCAGAGCCGGAAGGATGATAGGATTTAGGGGGAGACATTGGTCTGGGCAGGCACCCTAGTGAGTCGCCGGGGCTGAGCCCGTCCAGAGGACAGGCCACCCAGCCCCAAGGCACTCACTGCACCCGGCTACGGGGTGCGCTCCCTCGGGAGCAGCGGTGCCGCTCCAAGGGAGCAGCCCGCATGAGATAAAGTTGCCTGTCCAGCCCGGAAGGGGGTTGTGGCGTGGAGGAGAAGGATTTCAGTATCCTGAGGATAGAAGCACGGATAGGTGACTAGGATGGATCTCATTTCCAGTAGCGATGATTGACGGCAGTGAGCTGCTGGAAAAGAGTACCGATATGTGGTAGTTACATCGGCGGCGGCTCGTTTGGGTAGGTTATGACTATGAATCGTCAACTTTCGAGCTTCATTTGGTCGTATTTTGGTTTCATTTAGTTGAGCAATATCCTTGTTGGCCGTTTCCCTAAACAGCTACGTAAAACTCCACCGGTAATAAGTTGCACGGTCATTGCCAGTGGCATATATAGGAGCGACTTCATGTTTTGGGGTTGGGGGGCATGGGGCTTGGTCATTGGTCATCAAGTCCGACCCTATACGTCATCTGGACAATATCTGGCAATGTAGACACGTTGTGCTTTGGGTCATTATGTCAACACTAAGGAAACTTCCCAATTCCCATCGAATGGTGCTTAGGATGTTGTAAGCGATTTTTATGGTGCCGAGTGATTTCGGTCACGTATTTTCTGCTCCCACTATTTCCCTGTCGTTCAAGTTCCAAGGCGATCCAGTACGTCCTGAATCTTGGCTTAGCTTGGACTGGGGCGTCAGTGTACCGGCGCAGCTTCCAAACAAATAACATCCTCAGTAATTTCAACTGTTATCCTTGTAGCATGTGACACCCCTACCGCTAACATGGGCTTCTGTCATGACTTTACCGATGATCCGACACTAAAGCCCACAGCTAGCCATGGGATTTCCCTCGTGCTGTGGGTGAGCCGGCTTTTTGTTTTTGTTTTTCAGATCGGTGGAACCCGGTTGAAAGAGAGACGTTACTGGTGTCTTATTTCTTTGTCTGGATGCATATTGTGCTGATGTTAGGCATGCCTTTTCGGTAGCTTACAAGGCTGGGATCGCGGTGTAAAAGAAAGGCATGGGTTCGGTATACAAGAAGTGGTATTCATATTTTTCATTTCGTTTTTTTTTTTCATTGATAGATTCTTTTTGCAACTGATTTTTCTTCTGTCAACCTAATCCCTGGTTACCATATTATATTCACATTTATGCAGGTATTTTGGCTCCATGTATCTAACACATCCTTGCCCTCGTTTCGGATGCATGATGCTCAAATTCCTTGAGCTGTTTATATAATCACACAGCCACTAGTTTTGCAAGTTTACTGGACTCACCGGACTGGGCCGTGGTATTTCGCTATCGCTACGCCAGGTTGGTGTGTTGGAATGCCTTCGGCATGCCAATCGTGGTGCTGTTTATCTTTACTTTGGTCTGGAAGCACAACTACAAATTCAAAGCAACTTAAACGTGCAGTAAGTAAGTGACTCTTGACCTTCTGAAGGGCGTCTGTTTGACGTCATCGTACGCGGCATTGAAAAGTGTTTGTTTTCATAATTATAGTTACATAAAATAGGCATAGACATTATAATAATGTATTATAACATCCAAACTAAAAAATTAAATATTAAAATCTAGAAAGAGAAATTGCTTTACCTTCAGTGCTAGCAGTTTGTCTGTAGTTAAACCGATATCCGATTGTAAGCTATCAGGTATAGCTCATGGGTCTGATTAGGAGTGTCTGATAAAATAAGCCTGGTCTGATGATAGGGTGCTTTTATGGGCGTCTCGTTGACATGGGTACGGCACAGCGCGGACCTTGTAGGTTATCGTGGCTGTCACTGTCCCCTGGCATATTCCTTTGTCCGGTGTCATTCCCATCCGTGACACGTAATGCATCTCCATGGAGGAGGTGCGAGACAACTCCGCTCATGCGACAGGGGGTGATTTGGCGTTGGTGGGCTTCATCTTGTAATGCTCTTCTTTATCGAATGTGGTACCTATTATATGGCTTTTACCTGCATGTCTCGTTTCTGACCAGAGTATTGTGACTATGTGCGAGGAGTTGCCGATTATTTTTTTCGACTTTATTTGTCTGCTTTTGTTCGTTATGTCGTTCGGGAACAATTTTGCTGTCTTTTTGTAATGTCTTTACTTCAATCCAGTTCGTATTGTCAGGAGTTTGTAATGGTTTTCTAGCTGATAAGGCCTCTTGGGAATTAAAGTACCTAAATGAAAGACAGTAAAAAATAACGCCTTGCATACAAAAATGCTTGCAACCTGTAGTCAGTTAGATTCATTTCGTGGTATTTGGATGATTCGACATTGAGAAAATGCGCATGCATTTTATTGGCACTTAGCCTGATGAAATATATTTTTGTAGAAACCTCTGCAGTTATAAAACATTACTACATACCTGTAACATAACAGATGTTACGTTTATGGTTCTGTTTGTTCTGTTTTGAATCGTAGAGCTGTGAATAATGGGCCACATTTTCCAATCAGATAGCCTTCGTAAATTTAGCCTCTCGCATATCGAGATATCTGATCTATGAACATTAGCCGGCTCAGATTGCCCAGAAAATTGAGTTTTCAACGGACAATGGCTATAATTATCTCGGAGCCACCACCTTTACGCGGTGGGTGTGTTTGTTGTCCTGAGTTATGCGACAGTGCCCGCCTTTAAATTACTAACGATAATTACCCGTTCTGGGCCAAGGCCTTCTTTGAATGCCCGCTACACTACCGGCCATAATTCTCACACATGACCTTATCGCAGCCACAAGTGGGCCTTTCATGGCTAATTAGATTGTGCGCCGTCGATTTGTGTTGTATTTTGTGGCCGAAGCCCCGGGCCGCCGGCTACGCCCCTATCATCGCGCGCCTCACCGACTCCCCTACCTCCCCTCCCCCTCCCCTGGGGGCTATCGCTGCCCGATAGCGCTCCTATCTACACCGGGGCCCGCACGGGTGTCTGTCTACACACAGCCCAAAGCTCGCAGTGACGTCAGAACTTTACCCACAACGTCAGTTTCTGAGTGGTTTGTGTGACGAACGGTGTATTTACATACACAAGAGTTGGAGAGTCAAAACATTAGCGCGGCTGTGGGTCGTCAGATAAACAGATGCTGTCAAACTGACTGTAGGAACGGTTATTTAGGAAGGGGTTGAATTTCGAAAATGTTGGCTAGCTGGGATACCAAAAAATATATGTTTGAAACGGGATGAATTGTGAGGTGACGTAAGGCTTGGTGTCGTTAAAAATAATTGTGATGCTGTCTGTCTGTTTTTAATAATTTTTGCCACACCAAACGAATTATTCATAAAGGGAATAAGTTTTATTGAATAACATTTACCCCAATCAAAATTGCTTTTTTTAGTTGTTTGAAAACATATTTCGTTCATGAATTGATGTCGGACTATGAGGGTCCACATGGGCGAATTTTCAAATGTATGTAATATAATGTAGTTTTCTTATGAATGCAAGGGAAGCAATGCCTTTTGGCCATCAATGATGGATTAATGTTTATGAGGTTGGTGTTTTTTCTTGTACACGTTGTAAGTAAGTTTGCATTTTGGTTTGTTACCACGCTAGAAACTTGAAGTTTTTTTTAGCAAGCCTCAGTTTGGCTTTAAATATAATTAATTTGGCAATGACTATCTTCTGTGACATCATCGACATTCACCTCTAATGACATTTGCCCTAATTGATTGCACTTTTAAACATAGTGAACACTGAACATTTCTAGAAAGTGGAGAACTGGGTATAGCGCGTTGATGATAAATGTTGGGGAAGATGGGACATCTAGTTAAGTGGATCCGACTGGTTAATTGAGGTTGACTTCTCTGATTAAGGCTGCCGACATTGTTGTAATCAGATAAATGCAATTAACCCTGGGTTAATGGGCTGGAGGGGATCTCGCTCTAATTTGGAGCTATATCTGATGAATGGAGGCCATTCATCCAGTGGTTTGCTATGTGCATCTTCTGCCTGTTGCCACTCATACATTTTATTGGAGAAATAGTTAAGGCTAACATTTCTGCTAGAATCAAGAAATGAGAGGAATTGAATTAGCGCGGCATCCTACTGTTCTCTACTGAAAGAAAAACACAACAGATTTGATACTAAGCGCGATAGGTGTAATATGAGGCTCAGCACCAGCCCGCACGTCCATTTAGGACGCAGGGGCGGTTCGCCTGTTGTATCCTCAGGAGAGCTACAGCTTCCCCGCCGTGCCAGAACCTCCATACACGCTCACCGGGGCCGATCCTCCAGCCACTGTCCTCATCCCTCCCATGCGGACAGGACAGCAGGAACCTGTCCCCGCGGGTGTGTCCGCGCCACCGGACACGGCGACCCGCCGGCCCTGACCGCGCGCCGGCGCGTGCCCACGGCTGCAGAAAAATGGCGCCAACGGTGGCACGAGGATCTCGCGCGCAGAGACGACAACTAATCGGTGTCTTCTTTTTTCAGCGGCGCCTTCTCTCAGGTCAAGGTCGCCGAGAAGCGGAGTGAGCCCGGCAAGCTGTTCGCCATCAAAATCATCGACAAAAAGGCGCTGAAAGGCAAGGAGGACTCCCTAGATAATGAAGTCAAAGTATTGCGAAGGTGAGTGCGGACTACCGTGGGATCTACTCAATGCTCGACATGTTCCTTGCTTTCTTTCAGGCTTCGTCGAGGCTGTCGTAGAGTTACGGGTGTTGAGACACTGCAGTTTTAATCGTAATTCAATATGTTAAACATTCATTGTATGTTCGTAAAAGTTATTTTCAGGCTATCTCTTTCTTTCTGTCATTATTTTGGAATTGTGCGTGGTGGGGCTGTAGTGAATACCCGGGTACTAAATGAAATGCTAAGTAACTATGCACTGTGCCCTTAAGCACCCATACAACCATTCGGACCAAATTTCTTTTAGAAGTTTAGAAAATGTCACAACATCTGACACGGTTGTTGCACGGGCAAAATAAGGGAGACCGAGTGATTTGCTGAGCGGTTTTATCTTTGACGCAGACAAAGTATAGGCGCCGTCCCAAAGCGTTGACCTTTCCATTTCTGTGGGAGACATGCCATCACTCTATTAATATGGAGATGAGGCTGAGCAGCTCCGCATTAATATGGAACACTTCGCTGGTCTGTTTATATTGCCGCTCGCCCGCAAACTTTCGAATCGCGCGCAAACAATTCGCGTGCCCTTCGATAACCACGCATGCAAATCACTTGCAACACATTATTATTATTTTTTGTGTAATGTGCTACACGCGCTATACCAACATGCGATGTCATGTTTTTTTTTTTCTTTTCCTTGACATTTGCTTGGTCAAGTCAATATTTTGATTTATTTTATATTTCTTTTTAATTTGTGTCATTGAAACGTATATTCATAAATATTTAAAAACACTTCTTTTTTTGCTAGTAGGCATTGCTAGATGATTGATTTATCTGATATCTGGTGAAATTGAGGATTTATATTTTTGTGCCTGAAATCCATTATGTAATTTTATCAATGCTATTTATTCACGAAGAGCGCCAGTTAATGATGTTTGGTGGACGACTCATCTTTAATTCATTGTTGACATCACATCAAACATTGCTTTTTATAGTTGGAACAAATGCGTTGTGCAATTGATCGACACTTACAGATACTACATAATGAATGTGTTCTGCTCCGGGATTAATTACGTGATGGAACTTTGCCATGAAAATTGATAAAACCGTTTCATTAACAAATGCCTTGGTCTTCAAAGACATGCAATATTGCAATGCTACTTAGGGAGCAGATACTTAGTTTAGCAGAGATCGACCTAACCACACGCAACCATTTCACATACATGTATAATTGTATAGCCTGCTTTTAATCAGCATTTGGGCCAGCAATGAAACTATCGTTCAAAGGAATCACTGACTAAAGATAGTCTTAATTCTAACATGCTTCTTGTTTTCTTTCAGGCTTCGTCACCCCAACATAGTCAACCTACTAGAGACATATGAAGACAAACACAAAGTGTATCTAGTCATGGAAATGTAAGTACCGACTATATTCACCGCTTTTCTCGCACGACTTTTGCTTTTTTCGCCCACGAGGCACGCACCCCTAGTATCCCAATATAGGACTATGCCGCATTCGCCTGGCTTCTGCGGCCTTCAGGTCCACCGTTGTCGTCATAGGGGATTCAGTAATTCCAGGGGGCGATACTGACGCCGATGGTCAATGGTCAACACCGATGGTCAACACCGATGGTGTTTTCATCAGCCCGCGTGTGCGTCAATAATGACGCACGTTGGGCACCCCCGGTCTCTGTGACACGGGGGACGGTGACCGGATGAATCTGGTGACGGCCGGTGACAAGCCGACTTATATGCGTTCTTGTATACGCGGACCGGGCTGGCTTGTGTTACGGAAATATGTTATTAGTTCGTGGGAGCGTGAGATAAAAGTATAGAGCTACAGGAGTTTTCAAACGCCCATGTGGTGTTTTTGTTAAAGGGACTGTCCCACCTTAACATTAGATTTGAGTTGAGATAGCCATCTTGATGGACGTTCTTTGAAAATCAGTGCCGTGAAAACCGTTTCTCCAGCAATTACTTCATCGCAAAGAAATTTGAGTTTGATTTTGACATCTGTGCAAATAAGTGCCACAATGTATTGGTATTGGCACTTAAATCTGATGACGTCATCAGGCTTTCGAACGTCCGTAAATGTTTGACTAAAACGTTTTGTAGCACGCGGTGGTATATGCTGCGTTGCGCGCAACAAATGCCGCACTTTTAAATAAAGTCGCTAGGAACAGCGGAGATCCCAAAAAGTAAACAAAAGTAAAAGTCTAATATCTTGAAAACCGGTGAATATTTTTCGGTGAAATTTGGTAGATATTCGTTTTCGCTCTTTCTGAACCGAGCGACATCACTTTCATGCCAATTCATAAACTTTTTTAAAGGTGGGAGGGTCCCTTTAAGTAAGATTATGGGGGCTTCCAAGCTTTGCCACTCGTCACTCACTCCCGTAGGTTATGAAGTGAAGGTTTCACTTTGATAATACCTAATTTATTTTGCATTACTGTATTAAATGAAATTCAAATCCTATCGAACGTGTGCCAGACATGTGAAGACTTCATTCTTGTTTGCCTTTGTTGCTGCAATGTTTATATTTAATTGGTAAAGCTTAAGTTAATTTATACGTAAAATATTCACTTGTCCTGTATAGCTATTCATGATATGGTTGAAACATTTTAACCTAACAACAATTGATTAAACAATCTAATTATGTACCTATTATACCTTACAATACCCGTTATTATACATTATAATTATGCCTGCGGTGGTAAAAAAGCCCAGCTACATAGCTGACGAAAAAAGGCCTGACCCAATGCTAACCATCAGACTTGTGAGACATTGATGCAAAATACGCATTCTGACAATGAAAAAAATATATTTTTCGCCTTTTAATGCTACCACTCAACTTATTTTGCTCGCACATCCGGTCGGCGGGCAGTTTCTTCCTTCAGACGATACGCAGAAACAAAACCTTGAGAGGCAGGAAAACTTGGATAGATGCGCAATACACAAAACCATGCGTCTCCAACAGGGGAATCCGCAGTATCGCTCCAACCTGCGGCGTGCGGGAATGTTCTCATGTGTCGGTGAAGCACACATTCCACGCTGCGGGTCGGTTTTATGACACAGCCGCGGCCTCCAGTGAAAGTGAGGCCGGCCCGATCGCCGCTGGCGACGAGCCGGAACCTCAGCGCCGTCGCCGCCGTGGCTGGTCGAAATCCATGATTCTATGGGCCAGGTCTCCTGGCTCGTGGCACTCCCCAGTGACCAGTGTTGCCGTAACGACTAACGTTGAATGAAGTCAGCCGCGGCCCCCGCGCTCATTGCCTATCTCTATGCCGTCTTCGAGCCCCGTCAATGCCGCGCGGGAGTCGCAGTACCGATGACGTCACGCAAAGCACCGGTGACGTCACCGATTGCGTGGGCTGGCCGTAGGCTGTTGTTGCTGTTCGCAGATAGGTGCCGCGAGTGGTTGGCGCCGTAGCCCAGCGCATACGATCAGCTCTTTGCAGCCGGTGTTTTCACCTTCCGAATGATTGAAAATATGGCGGAACGTCGGCTCATTTCGGCCCGCGCCCTGCCAGGCGACTGATCAGCAGACGTTGTTTTTGTGCGGCGTCTGACGTCGACGAGTCTCTCCGACGAACCCGTCGGTGACGACGGCGGCACGTTTTCAATATCGGAGCGGCACCGCATAAGTCGACGGCGGAGCGTCGTCGCCGCCGACGAGGACGTCGCGTTGTGACGTCCGGTCACGCGCCGCGCCGGTATTTCGCTCCGCGACGCGCCGTTGAACGGGCGACGGATCGAGCGTCGCAATCGACAGCGACACGGCCCAAACGACGCGACGATCCGGGCTTCCGGGGGAGACGGAAACAGGCGGAGACTCGGGGAGGGAGTACTAGTAGAGCTTAGCTGCAAGCTAGCAAGGTGAAAGAGCCACCTTACGAACGGTGACGCTAGTCGTTAGCGTCATTGCCAGCCTCTGTCGCTCTCGCAGACCATACAACACGTATTGATGGTTATTACGCTGATTGGAGGCATGTTTCTGCACGGACAGCTGATCTGATCGTGTGTCCCGGATTAATCCCGCGTCGGTGCCGCTACTGCCGGTGCCGCCGTCTCCGTCACCACAATAATCACCGTTTAATGATGCCATTCATTACGATCTCCGTCAGTTGCTACTGCTGCATCGGCTGACCGTATCTGGACACCACGCTGCATCACGTGACCTTGGGGTCACCGGTCACCTGGCATCCCTGCTCGTGCTCGCTCCGCCATTTTCTGTCCATTACCACCTGCACGTCCCCCCCCCCTCCCCTCGGCCCCGGGAAGCGTTACGCCTCACCCATGGCGACCACCACATGGGGGCCGTTTTCCGCGCCGTTGCCGGGTCGTCGGTGTTTACCTGCGCCATTGTTGTCTCAGTGCCGCGCCGGGACCGCCGAAGTGGACCAAGGTTGTGGCCATGCCCGACCGGTGAGGGCCAACGAGCACGCGGACCCTGTCTCCGCCGCCCGGCCGCCCGGCCGGCTGATCGGCTACCAAGCCGAACAGCGACCGACTGGGCCAGGAAATTGGAACGGGCCGAGACATAAATGTGTCAACATGCCGTAGTATTTCATCCAAAGTTGAATTTATTGCATGCAAAACATGATTTAGATGGTCTGTATTGCCGTGAAATCTTTAGCCCCAATAAGTTGACTGTTGATTTGGGCATCGAAGCTGCGGAATGCATATTTGCGTTGCGGTTCGATGCAGCATCCCTTGATGCATCATAACAATTAATAATCATTACGATTTGAATAAAAAGAAGCTGTAACATTAGGTCCGGCCAGGCCGAACCTAGCTTTTCCTTGGCCTATTTATCCATCGGCTCCATTTTGTGAGAATCCCTGAAATTAGTCAGCGCTGGTCTGCGCCGCTTCAAACCTCCCCATCAGTCCGTTGCGTCACGCTTCATAACAGACTGGCGCATGCCTCCCAGCTGTGGCCTATGGAAATGGAGAGTGAATCGACCTCCAGCGGTTGCGCCGCCGCCGGCCGACCGCCGCTGCCGGCCGCTGGCCGCTTTCTCCCGTGATTTTCTCCCCGACTCCGATGACGCAGACATGTGGGCTGATTGGGGGATGGAGGGGGAGGGGAATCAGCTGACTGGTCTCAGGGGAGGCGTGGTGAATACGTGGCTCGCTGGAACATGATCTGCGCCGCATGGAGGGAGCTTACATCAACCTTCACTGGGAGCTCGGTGATTGGCACAGGTGAAGGACAAGGGGCAGAGTAGGAAGAAAAGCTGCGCATCGAGGTGGAATTAGCTTTACATCAGGCCGAAAGGTCTTCATCCGAACGCGATGAAGTAGAAGTCGTTACAATAGTTAGATAAGAAAACCACAGTATTCTTGAAATTTTTCACATTGGTCGCATTTCTATTTATCTCCTTTTCAAATACGTTATATTCCTTTTCCATGCATTTTATGTTTACTCAACAAGCATTTTCCTATGAGCAATTCAATTCAGGTCAGCATCGACCCGACTCCGAATTCCGTAGAACCCATGGAGTCAAATACTGTAATTCAAATGGACCGCACTCTGCCGCTTCGCTGGGGCCAGCTCCAAGAGACTCGCCATTAAGGATAATTACATACGCTGCAGGCCACCACCGCGCTTTCATGTAGCTTTTGAAACTGCTTTCCTAATAAGTGGACTCAGCAGAGTTAACCCGAAGTCGTTTGTCCATCTGCTTTTCTGCCCGTTGGCGTAGCCTGTACCGTGCTGTGGAGTGAATTGTTCGAATTGAAGGCGAATGGTATGGATTGAGCTTACGACAAACCATTAGGTAATTAGTCTCAATTGAGCTTGAAGCTGGTTTCAGTATTTTGGTATCGATTTTAATCGCTATAGAGATTCCTTAGGACGCACTTTTGGGCCAATAAAGCTGTAAACCTGCTTGATATGCTGCTCAGACAGCATATTTCTCTGAAGGACACCTCTGAATGGCTATTACACACTGTTTCGCTGTTAGGGGCTTGTTACAATACTGAACCGTTCGATAAGCTGTCAAACTGTCAGGTTTACCGGGATGGTTGTCAGAATCTACCATGAGATAAGTGCGCATCAGATCCCAGAAAAGTTATCACGGGAGAGATGTCGGTGAATAGTTACAAACAGAAGGGGCGTATGAAACTATAATGCGTCAGTATAGGTAGGTAAAAGAAGTTGGGATGTATTGAGTTTTAAGACGGTATTGCAGCGGTTTTTTTTAGTCGGTGGAGTCCTGAGCTCTTCTTTGCAGCTGTGCTTGACCATGCATCCCTGCGTGTGTGGTCGATCTTTGTTGTCTTGATGTCAATGCCTGTGACTGAACAGTGCCTGTGGCTAGACCTGTGTTTCCACCAGAGCCATTCCTGCAGCATCTATCCCAGTATCCTTGGTCTCCTCCAGCACCTATACCTAGTCGTCAGTGCCTGATA